AAGGAAAGAAAGATCAAGGAAGAGAAAGAGAGAAGTGAGAGAAAAGGGAGAGGGAAAAAATAGGAAAGAAAATATAAGAAAAACAGATTATTTGATTTTGATCATATCTCGAGTTTTACAGAGTCAGACAAATTTGAGGATGGATTGAAGGTAGGTATAAGGACAACACCAATAAAAAAGAGACTGTTATTGATTCCAGGGAAAACAAAAAGTTGTGTAAGAAAGGGGATATAATCATAGTATACTACATAATGAAATTGTGATGTGCTATGCAAAAATCACTCATGTAAATATGGAATACTTTAAAATCATAATTTGTGATATATCTAGTTATATTGAGAGTTTAGGGAAGAGAAACAGAGAGACTCTGTGTGTGGCGGTTATGCTTATGAGGAGGTAGTATAAGCAGGTTAAATCCTCATCTTCTACAGAATCAAATCATTGAAAAATTGAGAACCAGCAGTTGATGGAGGTAAATAAGAGAAAACAACTTAAGAATGGAGGGGATGAAGCGGTAGACGGCTGTTTCTCCTCAGAAGACTTGCGGTACTATCTAACTTTCGAAACTATGTCATGTATTATTTGAGTAAAGTAAACAATATATCTTAAGGAAACTAAACAAAGGGGCTCCAGGTTTTTAGAGTTAAGGAAAATATATCTTCAAAGAGATTTCCAAGATGGCTGTGAATACCAGAGCTCTGTTCTTTTTGTGGAGATTTTATGGCTAAAAAGCTCGAAATAATATACCTCACATGGTACCCAACATATTTTGGTAAAATAAGATTGAAAGGGGAAAACATTCTATAACATGTGAGCGTACATCTTCTCATCGTGATAGATACAGCCACATGTAGCAAACACACACGCAAAGAATAACGTAGCACAGTAGTCTATGATTTCTCTAGTCCTATGATAGTAACTACTAAAAATTAACATCACATTTTGGAAATTATTCGCTTTCCACTATTCCATGTAGGAATTATTTTTGGGCTTTGGGTATCCCTGTCACATTCCTTGACCAGCAGGCTGTCATTTGCTTTTGGTTTACTTCTTTCATAGTTGCTCCACTGTTTTTTTGTTTGTCAGACACAGAGACTGACTTCGCTGTCCCAGCAATCCCATTGTTGTTCTTTTGGTTCAAGCTAACCACCTCCTATCAAAGGATTCTTTTTAGACCTGTCTTTCCGGTTCTTCTATTTGATCTCAAAAACAGCTCTGTGTTATTTTTGCTAATGCTCTCTCCACTGGAGCTGATAATCAAGTAAACATATTTTTGGCTTGAACTTTGATAATTGCCGTGTTTAATGATTTATTAAACATCGTTATGTTGAAGACACAGTGTTACGTACTACGAAAAAATAGCAAAAATAGAGAGACAGACACACACAGAGACAGAGACGGAGGGAGGGAGAGAGAGAGAGACAGAGAGATCCTGTCTTTGAGAAATGAGATTAGGAAAAGATAATAGACAGGACCAAAATACGTTCTGGTTATTTCAACCCAGAAACACAAATTTTAAAAATTAAAGAGCAATCCAGAAGGCCCAGTATATGATGAAGTTCCAGAGAGTAAAAAAAAAAAAAAAGAAGAAAGAAAGAAAAGAAAAGAAAAGGGAAAGAAGAAAAGATCAAAGAAATAATACAAGAACATAACCCTAAGAAGATTCTAAAGCTTATAATGGTGGAAATTTTATCGGTAGTTTCACTGTCAATGTTTTAGCTGAAGTTTGATGGGACTTAAGAGAAGAAGTGAAAACAGGATGTGGAGAGAGAAAGGAAAAGAGAGGGAGTGTGGGGAGTGGGTTTTAGCACTATCTCTAGAAGGAGGGAGGAATTTACAAATAATATATGTAAATGAATAGACAATAATGGTATCACCTCAATCCAACTGACAAAGTGGATAAATAAGGACTTTTAAAAAAGAATCAGTGAAGCATAAACTTTTTTTAAAACAGGGGATTTTCTTTGTTTAAAAAGTATTTTTCCTGATGGTAGAATTAACATATATGATAGAAAATTTAGAAAATTCAGTAAATTATAAGAGGAAAACAATAATCACAATTTTACCAACCCAAAATTCCACTCCTAATATTTTAGATACTCAGTATTTTTCTACACATATCAAAAAACACAACCTGGACTATAACATACAAGCTATTGTATGATCTGATTATTTTGTTCATCTTATGAGCATTTCCATGTGATTAATCACTTATTAATATCATGATTTTCATGTACATTATTTATTTTTCCAAAATATTTATTTTGGTCCCCATTTTTCATTATCATAAGCTTGTTTCATTACCATGAACATAATCTTTGTACATAAATCTTTAATTTTCTAATTACAATGAATAACATGTACATTCTGAGTAGTGGCATTACTCAATAAAACATATTTGATATTTTGAAATAAGCTTTTTTTGTTTCTAGTTTTTGGTTCCCTCTTTAAAAACAATATCCAGGTAAGTGAGAAATGGCATCTTCTGAGAGAAATAGCATTGTCTGCATATATCCCAATCAAGTAAACATTTGTATAAGATAATTACCTTGAAATAAATGTTTCAGTATTATTGGCTTTGGTACTCAAGTCGTTCATTAAAATTAAGTGTTGATCATGGTCCTTGTGGCCAACAAAGAGTAAAGTGAATTTTCACTAGCAACAGCAGAAGACAAATTTGAACTACACCTATGTATAATTATATTTTATATCTTGCCTGTAATTTGAGCTTGTATTTGTGTAATGTACTCGCATATAGTGTAATTAACTATTCTGAGAGCTATGTAAATACTGCTCCACAATCAGGTGAAAGCATGAAATAAATGGTATGTTTGCAGAAAGATATTCACATGTTTATATATGTATTTTGAAGCTTTTTTCAAACAGTGGTGAGTTAATATTTCATTAAAAAGTGTGCTTTTGCTTGATGGTTCTTTTTGAGGTTAAGAAGTGATTATTCTAATAAGGCCTCAAAAAGGCAGACTCTGTCCACTCTGAAAGTACCTCGTGAGATGGAAGGAAAAGAGGAGGATCCCAGAGATTTAATCCAGAAAACCATCACTTTTGTTTCTACACTTGACTGAGTCCTTTCAAAACATGAGCTCTGTAGCTCAAGGCTTCGGTTACTCATAGTTAGGCAAGCATAAGGACCTGAAATAAGTACCTTTAAAATTCATGTTCCAGCAAAGACAAGAACTTCATCCCAAGTTAGCAAATTTCAAAAGACATTTAGTGAGGGTGGGGAGTGAGGATGGGTTCACATTGCACCCACATGTCTGCAGAGCCTGTGAGTTGGAATTAATCATCTTTGGTCTGGCTTGGAGGAAATACTTCACTGTTGCTCAAGGAAAAACAGCAAATGTAGAAGCACAATTTGTATTAGGATTAACAACAGACCATTCTGACAGCTTGTGATCTCATAAACCTCTGACGTGTCTGGGCTACAACAAACAACCCTGTGTGTTGCCTCTATTTTGGCCTCCTTCAGAACTTAATACTGAAGTGTATAAAATGTTGCACTTTCCAATGGTGCTTTTTTTTCTTAATGAAACCAAGATAAAAACATAAAAGCTCACATTTCAATGATGTTTTTCTACCAGCTACTGATTACAGCTGGTGTAAACCAAGCTATATTTTTATTTCTCCAGACAGAATTTCTTTGGAGCTGGCCGGCATGTGCAGACAAGAAACCACTGTGAGGTTTTGGGCTTGGAAGGCTGTGAAGGACAAGAATCAAGCCATAGAGCTCAGGCCTGTCTCTGCAGGCCAGCTCCACCTCCATCAAGCCTCCATCAAGCTGCGGGAGGGTGGGTGTGGGTCGGGGCGTCCATCCGGGGAGATGCAAACAGCCCCTAGTGATGCAAGATCTGCCTGTAGTACTTCCCAGAGCTTCTAATGCATCCAACTGTGGACACATGTCCAAGTACTAGTTAGAACCTGTTTGCACGTGAGAGCCCTTAAAGCAAAGAATTTGCTGCAAAACCCCCAACTACGATGCAAATGTCAGAATCCTGAGAGGACTGAGGCACAACATAGCAACTGGAAGTGGAAGGGTGGCTCCAGCGAGTTCACCCATGTTGGAGGAAAGGCAGTAGAACAGTGCATTTCCCCACTCCTTCCATGTAGAGAAGCTGCTCCTGGTCAGGATGAGGCGAGTGAATGCTTGTCAATGAGGATTCACTCCCCAACTGGTTGCCACTCATTTTTACCACAGGTCACTGAGAGCCCTACACCCCTAAACCAGGATGTCCTGCAGAAAGACACTGGGAAAGAGGAGAATTTATTGTGATCCAGCACTAAGATATATATCCCCCATCAACTTTTCCTGGATGAGAGCTGAACGCATCGGGAAGGTTTTATTGCACTCCCAAGGCACGCGGCGTTGAAACAGCATCTAATAGTGCTAGTTCAGCAGCCAGCGTTTAAATGGGGAATGGCCCTTCAGAAATCCATCCTCCACTCGGAAACTACGGCCAACTCTCCCACATTCAACGATCAAGAATCCACGTTTCCATTATTCACAGTTCAGTAAGATAGGCGGAGATGTTCAGGGCCTTATGAAACCGTTGCGGAGATCCCTGAAACGCTCTGGCCTCGCTACCGCCCCGAGTCTAGGACTCTGTGACCTGGGAGAGCAGCCAGGAAGGAGCAGCATGTTTTGCCCTGTGACCTCTATGGCCTGCCTCTCTCGGAGTGCGAACTTGACCGTACTTTCTGGTTCCTTATCTGCTGGCAGGAATAAAAGAAGTTTGGTTCCTAGACATTCAAACACAGGAAAGTCTACCGTCCCAACCTTTTCCATCTCTTAGAAGAAAGGGGGAAAACAAAACAAAACGAAGCCCAAACCAGAACCTACGCCTGGCAACGCCAAGAGGCAGGACGGGAAGGAACGGGCACGCAGGGACCGAAAGCCCGCCGCCCCCGGCGCGCGGAGAGCGGGGCGCGCCGCGGGTCTGAAACGCACCAGCAGCGCGGCGCGAACGGCGCGCGCTCACACTCACCTGCCCGTGGGATGGAAGCGCGGCGTAAGCCATGGGCTGCGTCATCACTCCTTTCTGCTTCATGAGAAGCATGCGCTTCTGCTCCTCACTCAGGTGCGCCCTGGGGGCCTGGAGCTGCGGCGGCGGCGGCGGCGGCGGCGGCTGCTGTGGCG